GATTTGTGCGTAGGAAAAGCTCTGTTTCTCGTTATTGGGAAGTTAATTGAAAAACTGGGTCGTCTTGTTGATAAAATGACGCGTTTTTAAAAATTAGAAATTTAAGAAAAAGGGAAGAGATCGTTATCGATTTCTTTCTGTATGATTTGTGCAAAAGCTCTCTTTCTCGTTGGGGAGTAGAATTAATTGTAAATTGGGTCGTCTCGTTTGTAAAATGATATATTTTTGGAAATTAGAGAAATTTTAAGAATTGTAATAATGGAATTTGTAATAATGGAGAAGAAAAAGGAAAAGAAGAAAATGTTATCAATTTCTTTCTATATCATTGGTGATTTGTACAAAAGCTCTCTTTCTCTCATTGAGTAAAGTTAACTATTTTCTCATTTTATTTGTAAAATAACGAGTTTCGAATTTTTGGAAATTAGAAATTCTGAGAATTGGGAATTTGACTGTAATAATCAAAAAGAAAAAGAGAAAGAAGAAAGTTATCAATTTTCTTTCTATATCATTAATGATTTGTACAAAAGCTCTCTTTTTCATTGGGAAATAGAATTAACTGAAAACTGAATCGTCTTGTTTGGAAAATGACGCGTTTCGAATTTTTGGAAATTAGAAACTTAGAGTTATGTTAGAATTTTGAGAATTGGGAATTTGAGAATCGTTATGACTGTAAGAAAAATCTCTCTTTCTCCTTATTCGGAAATTAATTATAACTTGGGTTTGGAAACTAGGAATTTGAGGATCATCGTGACGTAATAATGCAGAAGAAAAAGAAAAAGAAAAATATTATTAATTTCTTTCTATATCATTGATGATTTGTGCAAAAGCTCTCTTTCTCATTGGAGAGTAGAGTAAACTGTAAACTAAGTCGTCTTGTTTGCAAAATGACGCGTTTCGAATTTTCAAAAATTAGAAATTTTGAGAATCGTCGTGACTGTAAGGAAAAACTCACTTTCTCAGAAGCAAACTATATAAACTGGATTTGGAAACTATCAATTTGAGGATCGTCGTGACTTTTCAATAATCGAAAAGAGTCATTCGAAATAAATTACAGATATCTACGAATGTCTGATTGATAATAATACGTCCATCTCATTTGTCCACGAGGAAAAATAAGAAGAAAACGCTCGATTGCACGTATAACATAAAGACACGCGAGTACTGGAAGAAATCCTGAAGAAGGATCCCCTTTTCGATTCCTTCGAAATCGTTCTCGAGATGAACGTGCAAACAGTTTTAAAGAGCCCGATCTCGAAGACGAGAGGAGAAACGTGGGCAGGACGACGATACAAGAAACTGTGCGCGAGAAGGTGGACGAGCGAGGGCGGAAAAACGAGGGCGAGCAGCAGGAATATTCTCAGGTATGCGGGTGGTGGGTGCTGCTGGCCCCAGATGATACAACAAAGGAAAATGGAAGAAAGTATTGCAGCGAGGTGTCTAACAGAGACAGAGAGAGAGAGAGAGAGAGGAATACAGGAGAAAGGTTTAAATGCTTTTCGATACGCGGAGATTTCATCAAAGCGGAAATTCCTGCGAGCCGAGAGGGTTGCGGAGGAAGGAGAGATGTTCCCGAGTCAGGTGGCCTCGTCCCGAGGAGGCCGCGTTGTGAATCGAGCAAAAGCTCGATGGAAAAGGAAATCGAGAAGGAAGACACAGGTGGAGAAAAGGAAGAAAATGGGTGATGAGCGTAAGGTGAAAGAGAGACGGCTCGGGGTGGGAGGAAGGGAGGAAGAAAGTTGTACGATGGAGACGGAGAGGAGGAAAAGAGGACGGTGATAGAGGGAAAGAGGAAGAAGGAGGATGACGGAGCTGAATGGGAGAGCTTCGGACAAGGTAGCGAAAAGGAAACGGGGAGTTGGTCGAGAAGGAGAATCTATCCACCCTGGGAGAATCTTGGCGCGCGACGAAGATAGGAATAGGGGGAGGAAGAGGAAGGTAGGGATCTGTGCGAGAGAGATGGAGAGGGAGAATCCCTGGTGAAAGATAGTCGAGAGAGAGAGAGAGAGAGAGAGAGAACGAAGGATGGGAATGGCGGAAGAACAGGGGCGGAGGAGAAGCGTAGAAGCAGGAGAGAGATGGACGGATAGATAGGGGAGGAGGGTGGGTTGGAAGAGGAGGGAGGAGAGAGATGGACGGATAGATAGGGGAGGAGGGTGGGTTGGAAGAGGAGGGAGGAGAGAGATGGACGGATAGATAGGGGAGGAGGGTGGGTTGGAAGAGGAGGGAGGAGAGAGATGGACGGATAGATAGGGGAGGAGGGTGGGTTGGAAGAGGAGGGAGGAGAGAGATGGACGGATAGATAGGGGAGGAGGGTGGGTTGGAAGAGGAGGGAGGAGAGAGATGGACGGATAGATAGGGGAGGAGGGTGGGTTGGAAGAGGAGGGAGGAGAGAGATGGACGGATAGATAGGGGAGGAGGGTGGGTTGGAAGAGGAGGGAGGAGAGAGATGGACGGATAGATAGGGGAGGAGGGTGGGTTGGAAGAGGAGGGAGGAGAGAGATGGACGGATAGATAGGGGAGGAGGGTGGGTTGGAAGAGGAGGGAGGAGAGAGATGGACGGATAGATAGGGGAGGAGGGTGGGTTGGAAGAGGAGGGAGGAGAGAGAGGCGTGCGTGGGGAGGAAGAGGAAGGGGGGGATCTGTGCGAGAGAGCTGGCGAGGGAGAATCCCTGGTGAAAGATACTCGAGAGAGAGAGAGAGAGAGAGAGAGAACGAAGGATGGGAATGGCGGAAGAACAGGGGCGGAGGAGAAGCGTAGAAGCAGGAGAGAGATGGACGGATAGATAGGGTAAAAGGTTGGGTTGGAAGAGGAGAGAGGAGAGAGAGGCGTGCGTGGGGAGGAAGAGGAAAAGGGAAAGACTTGGAAGGGGATGGAGGGGAGGGAGAAGGAGGGAGAAAGAAGGAGGTTGGCGGGGGTTGGTGGAGCGAGCGGGCGTGGTGTGGGTGCCGGTACGGTTTTCAAGAGGAAAGAGAAGGAGAGAGGGGTGAGCAGCGAGTGGTTGGTGCATTATTGATCCCAGTGTGTGCGGACTGGGCAAAAAGAGGAGCCTCCGGCTCGGCCCGAGAAAGAGACGGAGCGATGGCGGGTAGGCGTCGCGGGGGCGAGAAAGAGAATCCGCCGATCGCAGACAGATATTAGAAATGCGTTCGCCTCTTACCAGCCGGTACATACACCACGCACCGTGCCGGGACTGACGAACCCCGGGGAGGAAAAAGCATCCGTCGTAATGCGGCGAATTCACACATGGCTGGTAAATTTATCGAGGAATTGTGCGAACCAGCCGAGGAACGCAACCTTTCCTCCTTTCTTTCCCCCTTCTCCTCTCGCCCACTATTCTCGATATACGCGCTTTCGGTCGTTGCTTTAGGCCTCTCTCGAAATCCTCCCTCGAAAATGAAATTTCGGACCGGAGACCTTTGCAATTTTAATGCTCGCCCCTTCTCAGCCACCGTGAACCGGTTTCGAGCTCGAGATGCCGAACGATTTCTCGATTTCGCGCGTAAGATGTATTTTTTTTTTAAGTAAAATGGAGTATATATATCTTGTCTGATCGAGAACAACGTTTCAAGGATGAGTTTAATTTTTAGGTATGGTGAGGGGATTATCGATATCGAAGTTGACGATGCGAATATTGTTTAAATTGCTTCGAGTTCGAATATTTTCTCACGAGGAGAAGGCTCGACTATTGCCATCCGTTTCAAAATATTTACACTTTAATCCGAATCGCTCGATACGCACGTTCGGTGGCCCGAAACATCGTGTCATAATACGTTTATACTTCGTCGTGGAACGACCTACGAATTCCTCTCTGCCCCGAGAATCGAAATATGTGAATCGTTGGCGAATAAAAATTATCGAACGGCTAAATATGGCAACTTGGAATAATCAGAGATCGTCTGTTACTATCTAGATTCTATTAAACGTTCAAAGAAACGATAGGAATTTCACGAATTCGAGAAATGTCGGCGAATAATTCGGTCGTAATATCCACTGTTTCTAAAGTATTCTTGCTTGATCGTGAAATTCGCGCGTATGTGTGTGTGTGTTTCTCGTGGAATTTTTGTTGTTCGATGATTGGCGCGGGCCTAATTTATCCGTGAGAACGAAAAAGAAGAGGAAAGAAGAAGAGAAACAGAGAGAAAAGTCGATCGAGTCGAATAGTCGAGGGAAATATATATATATATATACATATGTAGTATATGGAAGATAATGGGGGGAAAGTTTCATTCTTCGTTCGAAAATGGGGAAAACGGAAGAACATCGGTGCAATTTTTTCGCCGTTCGGTTACGAGCGCTGGGATTCGACGGAATGCGTTGTGTAATTGAATGCAATCATAATAACGTCCCGTTTGGAATGTTATCAAAAGTGCACCGTTGCATAAATAAAATGCATTTAATATTGAGCGGCCAAACGGGAGAGCGCAATTCCCCCCTCCCCTCTCTCAATGTTATAGGCGATACGAAACCTATCGCGGGAGAGAACGAGGCGGTAAAATTTTTCCAAATGCCACGATTTGCGCTGCTTTCTCTTCTCTCCGTGGAAAAAGGAGATTCCTTTTCGACGAATGGCTATTGTTAAGGGAAGGAAGAAGGGGGGAGAGAATTTGCTCCAGATCTCGAACGTTGTCGAAAAATTATCCACCATATTTATTTATTTTCCCTTTCACGATTTTTCAGCGAATGGAAACACGAAAAATTAAATTCCCTCAAGTTAAATTCAAAGCAAATATGAAACGCACGCGCGTCTACCGTGTTTCAATTTTGAAAATTTTAAATTTGTTGTTTTTCCAAGAGAGTAAGAGTAAGAGCCATCGAATCAACGATACGTTTTTTCGCGCTTAAACGAATAACTGAAGACTCGTCGAATCGAGTGATACGAGTAACAATATTCATCTTTTCGATATAACATAATAAATTAATCTCTTTTCTTTTTCGACTTCTTCACTGGATCCTCGTTCGATTCGTTCGAAATCGCAAGTATATATATATATACTGACTGATCAGTAAAAACAATAAAAATAAAAATGTACGAAAATTTAACCGAATGAATATATTTAATTATACGCAATTGCGCGTATCTGTTTACAAAACGTTCAAAGTATGTGTATCTTCAGGAAAAACAAATAAGTACCAACTACTTAGTGCTGGCAATACATTCAATAACAAAAGCACAAATAAAATTTCACAGAACTTTAAATTCTATAACAATATATATACATAAATTCTCTTCGAGAAGGGGGGACGCAAAAAGAGGGAGCGAAACTCGCGGGATTCGATTCGAAGTATTCATTCGATCCGCGGCGTTCGAAATCAATAGGAGGGGGCGAAGGACGTGGAGAAGGAAAGGGTCCTCCGCGTCTCGGCCAACAATATCCATAAATTTCCAACCCGTCCCCCTCCGGTAGAACAAACGGCCGGCCGACGATCCGAAATCGAGAAGAAACAGATCCCAGGAAGGGAAAAATCCACCCCTTCTTTTCCCCACCCGTGCCTTCATCCTCCGTGCAGTTTCGACCGTTTCGATTTCTCTTCCCCTTCCGATGATCCATTTACGTCTCGTGTCGATCGTGATCCCCTTGATATAAACGATTCACGCGCGTATGATTCGGTCGATCTTTCGTCCGAGAGGAGAAACCTCGCCTCGTTCGAAAGATGGCGGGCGAGTTGGACGAAGGGCGATAAATTCGTTTGGCGAGTATCGCAGCCAGGATCACGATGGTTCCCATGGCGATGGCAATGGTTTTGATGGTTTCTTCGATCGACTTTAACCGGGTAATTAATCGCGGGGAAATTGGAATCGATCGGCGTTCAACCGATCGTAACCGATTCATCGCATCGATTGCGTTTATCGGTACATAGGATTTTATGGATGCTTGGAAAGTGTCCTGCGCCCGTCGATTTACTATTAACGGCCTCTTAAGTAAGCGTAAGTAAGCTCGACTTGCAAGGCCACTTTATGGGCCGGTTTACTGGCCATGTCGAAGCATACCTTGAATTATATACGCTCTCCCTATAATAAGCCGATCCATTCTTGCTTCGAAGGTGAGAGATCCCTTGGAGAACGGATTGCCCTCCCTTTTAAATTATTCGATGAGTAATTTATTAAATTATTAAATTATCGGGTAGCAGATTCCTGCGATTCGTTACGATATCGTTAAAAGAAAGGAAGTAAAGTAGATCGAGTTAAATGGACGAAATCAGGGAGAAGCGGGTATTCTTTCTTATGCGAAACC